TATTCTCTGCAATAGCTTTTGTAAGGTTAGTGTTGTTTTTTTTAATGTAAGGTTAGTGTTTTTTAATGTTTATTTATTTGAGAGAGAGAGGAGGGGCAGAGAGACAGGGGGGAAGACAGAGGATCCAGAGTAGGCTTCATGCTGACAGTACAGCCCAATGTAGGGCTTGAAACCATGAATCATGAGATCATGACCTGAGCTGAAGTTGAGTACCCATGCTCAACCAACTGAGCCACCCAGCACTCCAGGTTAGTGTTATTTCTTAAATGTTTAGAAGGATTCACATCCATCTGGGCCAGGGGTTTCTTTACAAGATGGTTTTTAACTAATTTTCAACATCAATAATAGATATTGGACTACTCAAATTTTCTGTTTCTTCTTCTGTCAGCTTTGGACGTTGTATCATTTTTTTTTTTAAACCTCTAAGCACAAGAGAGCACCTAACTTGAGACATCATGTGAAGTAAATGACCCTTGCAGAGATGCAGGCAGTTTCCCTGGCTGCTTCGGGGATGTAAAAGGTTAAATTCATATATGATAGGAATGAACTTGTCGAGTCAGAGCATAAAATGATCTGGAGGCAAATGCTAATGCATTGACTCTGAAGCATTTCCATGTTATCAACAGCCCTCTGTGATTATGTAAATTGGAAATAAATGATTGGCATTCACAGGAGCACATACAGATAATTAGCACAGCACTGAGGAAGCTAGTTGTAGAAGGCAATTGTGACAAATCTACAAAAATAATGATTCTTGGTTAATAGTTAATGCTACATATCAGGAGGAGTAGGGCTACGGCACTGTCCTCTCTGGAGTGTGTTCTCCTTCCTCCCTCAGCCAATCCTCCCTGCAGTGCTGAGCTCTACCTGACCCACTGCCAGGACTGAGAAATTGAAGACTCCAGGCCAGGATGCCACGGAAGTCTATCGCAAGGCAAGATTCAACAGCTCCCTTCTCAGTTTGCAGATGGGCTGGAAGAGCACCAGTAAGAATGCTCAAATGTCAAGCTTGTTTAAAAGCCAAGGTTTTAACAAATGAGTGCGGGGCTGGGCTTTCATTAACTAACACAGATCAGCAGCAGCACCCAAGTCACAGTCCCTCCCCTCTCACCTTCCAGTAGCAATTTGTGGATAATGCATGTCAATTCCACAGCTCAGTCTAATGTATGGAATAACACAAGGGCACCAGTGCTATTAAGATCAAATGGGGTTTGACTAAAAGGCCCATGGAGCACGGAGACAACACTTTTTAACAATCTGTGCACACAGGTTGCATGGTGGGGACCTGAGAATTGATGCAAGAACAGTGGAAGTTGTGGAAACTCCCTGGGTTTTGGACACACTGAGCACTGTGAGGTACTCTGTGTAGGTGCAGGAGCAACTCAAAGCAGGGAAGGAAGCTGGAGCAGAAATCTCTTGTGGACAGGGCTGGGGAGAGGGCTGATGTATGGGCAATCAGCCTCTTCAAGGCTGTGCAGAATTTAATGATGAGCTCTGGCCAATTGTAATACTTTTCACTGGCCCAGGGAGGGTCTTTTCTGCTGGCCAGAGTCCCCAGTACAAGAGTAATTGACAGGGGGTTTGGAAGCCTAGATCCTGGTTCTGAGAGGCCACTGGCTCATCATGTGGTCTAGGTGAGTTTCTCTGCTTTACCTTAATTCTTCAAGGTGGTGGCCAGGTAAAATCCTTTACCTTGTGGCTAGAGAGCTGAGACTCACTGGAAGTGCAAGTATTTGGTAGGTGGGGCGGGCAGGCCACTGTGGTTCCTTTAGGCCTTTGCCCTAGAGCCAAGTCACTGAAACTTTTGACAAAAAAAATGCCCTGGAAATCAAAGCCAGATTGAAGTCCTATTTCTGCCAGTAAATCACTGGGTGACCTTGGGCAATTTCCTCCTCCACACAGTGTCTCCAAATGTCCCACGGGAGTGTCCCCCAATTTTGAGGACAGCAGTTCTCAAGCCTTTTGGTTTCAGGGTGCCTTTATGCTCCAACAATTATTGAGGACTTCACAGAACTTTTGGTTATGAAGGCTCTACCTATTGATATTTTTAGCTTTAGGAATTTAGATTGAGAAAACTTTAAAGTATTTATTAATTCATTTTAAAATAATGATAATATAACCACTGCATATTAATGTAAATCACTATACTTTCCAACACAAAAATGACCAAAGAGAAGAATGGCATTTTTGCACATTTTTACAAATCTCTTTAAAGTCAGGCATAATAGAAGATAGCCACATTCTTGTATCTGCTTCTGCATCCAGCCTGCTGTGATATCACAGCTGTCGTCTCTAGAAAAATTCACTGTGTGGTTGTGAGAGAAGGCAAGTTGAAAAGGCAAATGCATCTTGGTTTTACTGTGAAAAGAGTTTTGATCCTGTGGGCTTTCGGGGGTCCCTACCCACATTGTGTGACGTGCCACTCTGAAATCGCCAGAACTATGTTCCGTGTTTGCACCACTGAAGACCATACATATCCCTCCATTCCAGATCAGGTCCTGGACCAGGTGTCCTGGCCCCCCAACAGGGTGTCTACACATTGATCTTTAAGCTTGCTTTGGGAAGGGGCCACTTTCTCACCCCCAAATCCTGAGAGAAGTGAGTCATTTTATTTCCAGAATCCTTACCTGCACTGGGGTCAGGCCACAGACATGACTGTGTCTACCTACCAACTCAGGGTCTGTAACCGGCGCCAAATTGCCTTAGGCTCTACAGAGGAAAGAAAAACAAAATAAAAACCAATAGAAACTAGCAAACAAGTATGCAAAAGGTATGTTTAGTTTCCTGTTAGAGAAATGGAATGACTAATTCATACAAGACCATTTGGTACGGCACGTGGAGTGGGCTTTCTAAACAGCGGGGCTGCTGTTTAGTGGAAAGCAGTATGCTGTGGAATTGTGCTCAGAAGGACACAAGGACAACAGGCCGCTAATGCAGCCAACACCGCAATGTGGTCTCCTGCATTCAGAGGGACGGTGGAGTACTTCAAGTACTGGACTGCAATCCAAAGACTCAGGTTTGGGCAGGGGGAATTCTGTTGTCAGTTCCATGTCTGTGTGATCTGGGCGAGTGAGCTCCCCCTGGCTCCACCCCCTATCTGTAAAATGGACAGTGTTACCACCCTGTCCCTTCTCAGGGCTTTAGGGCACCCCAGCCACCAAGATGGCTGAAGAAGGCCCTGGGAGATTGTGGCGTGCTCTGAAGATGTCAGAGCCCCTCAGAAAGAGGCCACAGACCAGCAGCCGAAAGAGGCAGGGCAGCACCCGTTGTGGAAGCCCCCAGCCCGGCTTTCTTGGGGAGTAATGTCCAAATTCTACCCACCAGTCATCCTCCCTGCCCACTCTCCAAGGATCCCATCTCCATGCTGGCACAATGAAAGGGTGGGAAGGCCAAGTTCAGAAAGTGTCTTTCTGTTCTCAGTTTCTCACAGGCTTAGCTGAAGCACCACCACCCTGCCCCCATCTGCTGGTGGTAGCAGATGTGACTTCCCTGGGTTTGGGTTGAGAGATAATGGTTTCCCTTTAAAAGCTTGCTGGTAATTTCCACATTCTCTGCTAAGCTCTGGGAGGCAGCTGTGGTCATACACCCAGGGGTTTTTACCAATCTCTCCATTTGGAGCTCTTGCTGTCTTTTGCGTACCTCCTATCAGCTACTGGACAAACTGTGACCTGCCCTCAGGCAGGCTGGCCAGCTGAGGTTGACAGTAGGGCCTGATCCACCAAAGCGACTGTGGACAGCAGCTGGCAGAGGGCCGGGATGGCACTGTGGCTGGTTCCAGAGGCAGCAGAGGGTTGACAAGCACAGACTGCTTTAACTGCTACTCAGAGAACAAAGAGAACTTTACCCTCATGATCCTATTTATATATACGTGGATCTCCGTGGAACCACCACACAGAACAATGGTTGCCTAGGATC